GGCCTGCGCCAGCTCCTCGGTGCGGTACTGCTCCAGCACCACCACGCCCTGCAGGCCCGCGCTGCGCCGCCGCGCGCACGCCTCGCAGTGCACCAGGTACGTGTTGCGGCTGCCGTTCTCGCTGGTCACGAACAGGATGTTGAACACCTCCACCTGGGACGGGGCGCAGGGGAGGGGGGCGGTCACGGGGAGCGAGGGCGGCGGGGGGCACCTCCCTCCAGGGCGCGGCGGGCCCACTCACGTCGCACTCGTTGCAGTAGTAGGCGGGCTCGTCCTTGACCCGGCCCTGGTAGGCGATCTTCTTCCCGGCCCGCACCAGGCTCTCGCGCTGCACCTGGCAGTGCTTCATGGACTGCAGGAGGCAGAACCTGCGCGCGTGCAGAGGGAGGGGAGGGGAGGCGAGGGGAGCCGTGAGGCCGACCGAGCGGAGCGGGGCGGGGCGGGGCCTCCCGGCTCCAGGCTGGGGTCACGGCCCCTGACCTGGGCATCGCTCACAGTGGACATGTGGCTCTTGTCTATTTGGGCCGCAGGAAAATAAAGCTCATCGGAGCGGGAGCGGGAGCGGGTACAGTGCAGGGCACGTGGTCTGGGGCAGAGAAGAAGGAAGACGGGGTGGAATCCGACAGAAAGGGCAAGAGCGGGGCCAAGTTGGGTGGAGATGGGCTTCTTCCCAAGCGGGGCGCTCACTTGATCATCTTGAACAGGTCCGGGTCGCTGATTTTGACCGTGCGAGCCACGTTCCAGGACACGTGAATCATGGGCACGATGGACTTGACGTTCTTCACCTCGTTCCACTCGTATCGTTCCAGGGCCAGCTGGTACTGATAGGCTGCGGGGCCAGAGGGGGAAACAGAGGCATCTCAAGCAGCCGCGGCCACGCTGGCCCCCAGGCCCTCCCTTCCCTGGCAGCCGGCTGCCGTCCAGCTCGGCCACCCACGGGGCTCACCCCCCACGGGCCCCGCCCACTCACCGGTGAGGGGCCCCACGTTCCAGGCAATGTTGTTGCACCAGCCGGTGGCCTGCACCCAGTGCACGGTGCCCGCGTTAATCCACACCAGGTCTCCGGGGCGCTGCACGAAGCGGTACACGGGGATATTGGAAGCATAGAGGTCATCCAGGATTGGCCACCAGGAACCAGTCAGGTAGTCCACGCCGTGCCTGCGCGGTGGCCACAGGGTCAGACGGAAGCCACAGGGACGGGGCGGGACTTGGGGGGTGGGAGGAGGTGTATCTGGCGGGGCCAGGGTGGCGCGCACCGGTCGCAGAAGGCGCTGATAGTCTCCCAGTAGTGCTCGTGCACCGCAAACCACTCGCAGTCGCCAGGGCCGATGTTGATGTTGACGGAGCAGAAGTTGTTGTTCTCCTGGTGGCCTGCAGGGGGCGACAGAGAACGGCATGGCAGGCGGCAGCCCGGCCTGCGCTCCGCGCCCGGTCCGCCCCCGGGCCCCCATTGGCTGGCGGAGCGGCAGCCCCGCCCCCTCGCGCGCGCCCGGGTGAGGAGCGCACCTGGCGTTCGGCTGCCGGGAACCTTCATGTACAGCTGCACGGTGTTCATGCCCAGGATGGTGTGGCCCACGTGGCTCAGCATGTTGCCCGTGGAGGTGACCCGCATGAAGGCGGGCAGCTTCAGCAGCTCCTGTAGCTGGGGTTTCCACCTGCGGTGGCGAAGGTGCCACAGAAGTGAGAGGCCGCCCCCGACCCCTGCCGGTCCGGCAGCGCCCCTGCCCCCAGCCGCACTAACCGCTTGGCATCAGACAGGTCGATGTTGGTGCCGAACTTAATGATGTGATGGTTCTTCGGGTCTGGCGCGCTGCTGCCGGGGCAAAGAGCACGGGTTGACGGAGACCCGCCGGCCAAGGGAAGGGGAAGGACACGAAGGCGGCGGACGACCGGGACCTACCTAGGAGGGGTCCCCGTGGTGCTGTCGGGCTCCTCTGACTCCTCATCCTCGCTTTCCTTCTCCTCCTGCTGGGTCACAGCGGGGAGGCGGGCTGGGGTCGGTGCCGCCGGGAACCCAACCCCCCCACCCGCACCCCCAGCCCGGGCAGCCCCTCGCACCTGCAGGGACTCCTGGAAGGACGAGGCCTGGTACTGCGCGTACTTGGCGATGGTGGTGTGCGAGCGGGAGCTCTCACAAGGCCAGATCTGCCGCGTGCCCGTCAGGTCCCAGTTCTCGTCCGAAGGCTGCTGTACCTGGGTACGCACCTCCACCGTGTGCTCGCCGCTCGCCTCCACCAGCGTCTTGGTGGAGAAGAGGCCCAAGTCTGCAAGGCAGGACCGAGCAGGGCGTCGGGGCAAGGGCGGAGGGCAGGGAGCGAGGGCCTTCTTCCTCCCCAAGCCTCTCCCCATCCCCCCCCCCCCCCAGCTTCAGGAAGCTCAGCCCAGCCCAGCCCCACACGCAGCTGGGAAGGTTGGTCCTCCCAGGGCGACCCCCTTTTCTCCTGCTGCTGCTCTGAGTCGAGGCACCTCCAGGAGAGTCCTCAGGTGTGCGTGAGGCCACAGGTGCACTGCACCTGGCACTTAATAGGCGCTCAATGAATGGCAGTTTCCTTAAGTTATCGCTGGATCCAACCAGAGATTTAGTTAAGTACAAGCCTAGAACACGCTTCACGCTAACAGCGGTGAGAAGGAAGGATATACGGGTATAGAGAATACTACGGACATAGAGGAAAGACGATTGCCTTTTATGTTTCTGTGTGGTTTCCGTTTGTACGTAAGTACCTTTGTTTGGAATTTTGCCCGATAAAAATTTTTTTGCACGATAAAGCGCTGAAAAAGAGAGCCCTGGACACCTGGGTGGCTCGATGGGTTAAGTAACCAACTTTCGGACTCTTGATTTCAGCTTGAGTCACGACCTCACAGTCGTAGGATCGAGCCCCTCATTAGACTGTGTGCTGAGTGTGGAGCCTGCTTGGGATTCTCTCTCCCTCTCTGCCCTTCCCCACTCTCACTCTCTGCTCCCTCCTCTCTCTGCCCCTTCCCGCTCTCTCTCAAAATAAATAAACTTTAAAAAAAAATCCCCAAACCATGGGCCGGCAGGGGTTTTGTATACTCTGTATTCTCATCCTAATTGATCAAGAAAACCAAAAGTGACCCTAACCAGGTCCTGGGTTCCATCCCCTGCCCCTCTATCCAGTGCTGGGGACACAGTGATGGGAAGAAAGCCCAAGGCCTCAAGTAGGGCGTGCGGAGGACTGAGGATAGCTCGTGAGAGCTGCAGTCCGGGGTCTGCAAGCATGGGGGCCCTCCGAGGCCTCCCCTCACCCTCCTGCCCTTCCATACTCACTGAGCCGCAGGGAGCCCGCCAGGCCCCGGATCACGGTGATGGGATTCCGAGGGTCTGTGCAGAACTGCAGCAGCACAGGTGAGAAGGCGTCCCGTTTGCTCTCCAGCTGAGAGATGACAAGGAGACAGGGCCAGGGTGAGAGCCCTGCCCCGGGCTCTGAGCCCCCTCCCCCACTGCCCCTGCCGGCCCAGACGCAGTCTCAGAACCCATGGCAGGGGGGTCATACGTACATAGATGCTGGGTGTGGGCGGGTTGAGTTTTTCCCGGGGCAGCTTCTCCTCAGTGTTGATCTTCGGTTTCACAGACTGGGCAGGGGAAAGGTAGGACTCTCGAAACTTCCCTTTCACCTTGGCATTCCTGTGGGGAAGATAGGGACATGAGGGCAGGAATATCAGGGTGATGGGGAAGGGAGCCCCCCACTGGGCCGGGCCAGCAGCCTGGGGGGGGTGGGGGCCACCTCCCGGAACTTACTTGCTGGCACGCACGACGTCAGCAGCGCAGTGGCTGATGGTGAGGTCCGCCATGCGCAGCCTCCGCTCCTCCACCTCGGAGGCGATAAAGGTCTCCTTGTCCCCACTCTCCACCTTGATGAGGCGGATCTTCAGCTCCTTGGGGGGCCCTTCGCTGAGTGAGCGCAGCTTTAACATGTCAGCCCGGCTGACACCTGGTGGCCCTGGTGCTTCCTCGCGAGCCTTCTTCCCGGGAATGGGAGCCGAGGGCGCTGTGGGCTGGGCAGGGGGCGCGGGGGCCGGTGGAGGGGCAGGAGCCGTGGGTGGCTTGGCCTTGGAGGCCCCGCCAAGATCGGGCCGGGCCTTCTCGCGACCCTGGATCTCCTCGCTCTGCAGGTCCAGGTTGCCCAGCACCCGGCGGCTCTTTTCTTTGGGGGCCTTGGCCTTGGTCTTTGCCCTGCCCTCTCGGGGCCGCCGACCCACGCTGTCCTTACAGGCCCGCCTGTGCCGCCGGTGCTCCTTCTGGTGCTCCTTCTGGTGCTCTTTCTGCCGCCGCTTGCTGCTGCTGCCTGGTCCTGCCGCCGCCGCCGCCGCCACCCCGCCACTCTCCTCGCGGGCCTGGGCGGGAGGCAGCAGCCGCTCGGTCCCACTGTCCACCGGGCCTGCCGTGTCCACCGGGCCCGCCGTGTCCACCGGGCCTGCCGGGTCCGTGGCGCTCCGGCCCACCCGCTCCACAAGGGTCTCACAAGCCCGACTGATCTCTTCTAGCACCTCAGACTCAGACCGAGCAGGGGGCAGAGGCAGGGGTGGGGGCGGCGGGGCGGGGGTCATGGGGCCCGGGGCCGGCTCTTCGCCCGCCCCGCGCTCCCGGGCCCAGGGCCCGCCTGAGGTAGAGAAGTGAGATGCCGAGGGAGCGGAGGGCTGCGGGGAGCCCTGGGCGCTAGGGGCCGCCGAGGCGGGCGGCGGGGCGGTAGCACCTGATGGGGGGCCTGGCGAATACTGAGTGGCGGGCAAGGGCCCGGGCCGGGTGGCGAGGGCAGCTCCAGTCCCCCGGTAACAGTACTTCTGTCCTTCCAGCACGGAGGCCAAGGACTTGAGCAGGCTGGCCGGGCCGGCCGGTGGGGGGAGCGGGGGCGGCGGAGGAAACTTGGCTAGAGGCGGCGGTGGCGGCAGGGCTGGTGGTGGCTTCTTCTCCTCTTCCTGGGCGGCGGTGGCAGTGGCGGCCGGGGTTGTGTCACTAGGGAACGGAGGCTGCAGAGACGAAAAGGGCTCCTTCAGCGGGGGCGGGGGGGCTGCGCCCGCCTCCTGTTGCTGTTCCTCCTCCTTGCGAATGGATTCGTCCAGCATCTTCATGATGTTGGCCAGCCCATCGGGGAGGATCTTGAACTCCGCCGGCTCCTCAAACTGGTCCTCCAGCGGGGTAGGGGGAAAATCGAAGAGCCGCGGGCCTCGGGCAGGCAGCTCCCCGACCCTGGGCGGCACAGGCTGGGGGGCTTTATTCAAGGGGCCTGGGGGGGGGCCCGGCCCCACCTCGGGGGTCTTTGGGAAGGAGACCCTGGGCCGAGGGCTCTCCGGGCGCCTGAAGCTTCCTGAGGTATTTTGGTGGCAGGAGGAGGGAGGAGCTGGAGGCAGGGCGAGAGTCAAGGGCGCGAGAGGCGGGTCCTGGGGGCTCAGACTGGGGCTGGGGGGCCGGGGAAGGGGGTCCAAACTTCTGGCCAGGTAGGGAGGCGGGGGGAAGGACACGGGCCCTGTGGGGCTGCTGCCGTGGCTGCCATGGTTGCTGCTGCTGGTGGCTGGGGGAGTCGAAGGGGTGTGCGAATCCTGAGTGCCCACAGAAAAGCGGGGAGCCGGAGGCCCCAAGAAGCCCTCGCGGTGGGGGAGGGGTGGTGGGGGAGGGCGGGGGCGTCCCTCAGACCCAAAGAAGAGCTCCTCGAAGATCTCCCCATCCTCGCGGGCTGCCCGGCAGGCCGGGCCCTTCAGCCAGGCAGGGGGGGGCGGAGGGCGTAAGAGGCGGGGACAGGGCGGCGGAGGCGGCGAGGGGGGGCCGGGCGGCAGGGACAGGTGAGGAGTGGCAGCGGGAGCCGCCAGGAACGGTTTCCGACTGCTGTGTGCCGAGGGCCCCAGGCGGCCTTGGTGAGAGGAGACGTCCAGCGCGGGAGTTTGGTAATGATCAGCGCCGGGCTGCAAGCAGGGGACGGGCGGTCGGCGGCTGCCGGGGGTTGGGGGGGGGGGGGGGGGGGTGGCACCGCCCGCTCCACCCGCAGTCCACCCGCGGTCCGGAACTCACAATGCCTGGGCTCGGCTCCGCGGCCCGGAGACCGGTGTTGTTGCTGCTGCTGCTACTGCTGCTGCTGGTGGGGCCGGGGAGGCCAGGGGGCCGGGAAGGGGCGTAAGGCACGCAGGCGGTGGTTGCTGCTGGTGAAACGCTGGAGTCCATCCGCGACCTCTGAACTCTGCTCTCTCTAAGGTCACTTCCGGGGGGACGGGTGGCAGGCGGGCAGCCATGGCTCTCTGCTCCTGGGGGGCGGGGGCCTGGGCCGGGGGGTGCGGCCGGGACCAGCCGGTGGCCAGGGGGGTGCGCGGCGTAGGCCGGAGCCGGGTACGGATACGGGTGAGGCAGCGAGTGCCGCTGCTCCTGTGGGAGAGGCAAAGGGCCACGAGTGACACGTGGGGGACGGGGGACTTGTGGTTAAGAGACGAGGGGCAACCGATTGGGGCTCACCTGGCGCTCCGGGGGGGCCGAACCCTTGCGCTCGGGGCCCCAGACATCTCCATGCAGGGCGCTCCACAGCCCTGGCTTGCTCAGCTGAAATGGAGGGCTAGTGGCGAGGCCAGGCAGGGGTGGGGGCGGCGGCGGGGGGGGCGGCGGGGGCGGTGGGGGCAGTGGCGGCGGGGGCAGCGGCAGCCCCGGGGGAAGGCCAGTCTGGAAGAAGAGAGAGCGTGAGAACGGCACCCCGGCCCAGTCCTGCCCACGGCGGCCCGTGGCCTACATGCGACCATACCTGCTCAGAGCCGCAGCCTCTCCTGCGCTTGCCCCCGGGGCTGAGGCCCTCGTCCCCCGAGGGGCCTGAGAGCGCCGCAGGAGGCACGGGCTGCACCACTGGGGGCTCAGCGGCTCGCTTCACGGGGGGACCGCCCCGCTTGGCCCCATAGTTCCGCTTGTGCTGAAAACAAAAAGGAAGGAGAGAGAATGACACATGTGCAGATCCAGCCAGGGGCCTCTCCTCCCCACCCCACCGGCCCCCATCTCACCTCAAGGTGCAGCAAGTTCCACACTTGCTCCAGGGGGGGCAGGACCTTGGCTCGGTGCTGGCAGGAGCCGGCGTGAAAGTTCCAGAACTGGGCCTGGGGGCAGAAGCACACGTTAGGATGAGGGCGCCTAGCCAGAAGGCACAAGCCCAGCCCCCCGGGCCCTGCCTCATCCCACCTGCTGTAGTCGGCCGATGCGGGGCCCCAACTCAGCCAAGCTTCCTCCGTATCGAAGGGCACTGTGATAGCAGCGAATGGCCTCCTCGCTGTCGTGCTCAGACTCGTATAGCTGCCCCAGCTGCTCCCACAGCCCCGGCTGGGCCGGCTCTCGGAGCAGTGCCTGCACACAGCCATGCAGGGATTCCAGCTTCCCGTGGAGGGGTCTCGGGGCGGGGGTCCTACCGGGCAGAAGGAGTTGTGGGGGCTGGTCAGGCCTGGGGGACCTCTTCTGAGGCCCCAGGCTTACGTCCCATCTACAGCACCTTTGATTCCGTACTCACCCTGGAGCATAATACGGTTTGTTGGGGTGTCCAGAGCTACTGCCATGTGAAGGGGGTAGGGGAGCAGAGAGTGGGGGCTGCCCGATGCTGGCAGAGCACCTAGAGACGGAAGGGGTCTGTTAACGTGCAGCAAGATGAAGTGGTCCCGTCCCTACTTAGAAATGAGAGCACTGAGAGACTAAGGGAAAGCAGCTGAGAACCCCACTGGGGTCCACAGATCAGCAGAAACCCAGAGAGTGACCAAAGAGTGGAGACGGGGAGAGGGGTGCCCCATGTTCTCACCTGCCTCCAGGCAGCCATGCGCTTCGAGGAGGGGGATGGGGCGGGCAGGAGCTCCAGGCCCCAGCACAGCTCAAGCCCCCGAGGGCAAAGGCTTCCCGTGCAGCGCGGGCCCCTGGAGGGTCCACTGCCCGATGCATCCAGCCTGAGTCAAGGAGAGATCAAGATCTTCATGGGGGCACAGGCTGAGCCAGCAGCATACACACGGCCGACCCAGCCCTGGTCTTTCCCTTACCAGGTCAGCAGTGGCCCCAGGAGCCCTGGAGATCGGGCACGGCCCCCTGCCCCAGCTCTCTGGGGCGACGGTCCCGCTCCAGCCGCTCTGACAGGAGTGCCCACTGCCCCCAGACGGCCACCCAGGGCCCTTCACAGCCAATTCTGCGGAGGGGAGGAGGAGAAGGAGTGCCGTGAGCCGGCCAGCGCACAGCTGAGGCCCAGGGGCCCGGCCGGGCAGTCATCTGCACCGGGAGTCGGGCCTTGGCTTTCCCCGAGGGGAGGGCCACGCCGCCCAAGGAGCCCCCGGAGGCCCGGGAGAGCGGCGAGGCGCCGGGACGAGCGGCAGGGAGCGGGACGGCCGGTCAGCGGCGGCTCGCTGCCGGGAGCCACTGGGGCGGACGGGCAGCGCCGCGGCGGCTTACCCGGCCTCCGTGGGAGCGTCCTCGCACGGCGTCGGCGAGCTCCTGAGATCCGGCCAATCACAGGACTTCCCCTCTCGCCAGAAAGCCAATCATCACCCGTGTCTCCGCCTCAGTAACAGCCTGGCCGGGACCAATGAGAGCGAGGTTAGCCCGGCCTCGGCCGGGGGAGGAGGGGCGGCGGAGCCGGTCAGACGGGCTCGGCCCGGGGTGACCCCGGGGTGACCCCGCGGCTCCCACCTAGGGTCTCCATCCCGGACCTGACACCCGGGCCGGCGGCGCAGGCAGGGCCCGGGACCCCTGCGGGTGAAGGCGGCACGTCGCACGCTCGGGCCGGCCTGGGGGACGGCGCCACCCGCGAGTCCCACGCACCCATAGAGTCGCCGGTATTCCCGGCAGGACCTACCGAAAAGCCCCCGGCCCCGGCGCCCTAAGACCGGCCGACGGCAAACGGAGGCACAACGTAGACAAAGGCGTCGCTGCCTTTCCTCCCTTCACCTCGCCCTGTGCCTCACCTCCCACCCCGGGTGCCCCCTGTGACTGCTGAGAGCTGGCAGGTCCCGGCGACTTCGGTACCCAAACCCGCCCGCGCCGAGATCCGAGCGCTCCCCCCCCCCCCCCCCCCCCCCCCCCCCCCCCACGCCTGACCCTATCCCAAACTACGGTCGGGGCCCCCAGCCTACCTAGTTCCCGGAGCTCCTCCACTTCCCCTGGCTCTCTAGGTCTTCAGTTCCAACCGACCCCCAAAACCAAAATCTCCCTTTAATCCCCCAACTTCTGAGAAGACGCGCACAGCGGTCCCGAGTGGCCCCTCTCGCGTGGCTCCCGTATCCTCTATGCCCTTCCCCGTCGGGGCCACGCGGTTCCCCACGGCCCACGTGGCCCCCGCCCCCCAAGGGAGGGGGGATTTCGGGGGTTGCCCGTGACGTGGCTACTTGCGCAGCGGAAGCGGCGTGTGTAAGTGTAAGGGGGGGGTCCTTCGGGAGGGAGGAGGGCGGGGCCCAACAGGCGGTGACATCACCCTTGTCCCACTCTCACCGCCCACTCCCTTAAAGAACCCAGAACCCGTTTCACTTCCTCCTTCGCGGCGCCCCCCCCCCCCCCCCGCCCTTTCCCGTCGGTGCCGCCTCGACCCACGACGGGCGCAGCGCCCCCCTTCTGGGCACCTCCCCTTCGGCCCCAGTTCTTCCTTGTCGCCTGAGCCCAGGATCCCCGTCCCCGCGCCTCTTCCTCGCCTACCCGGCGTCCCCGCAGGTAGGGAGCCGGCTCCGCTCCCGGGATCGGTCCATTGAGAGTCTAGAGTACAAAGAGCTGCGAGAGGCGAGCGTAGAGTACAAAGCGGCGGGGGCGGGGCCAGCGCTCCAGCTGGAGCGAGCGCCGGGCAGGAAGCCGGGGGAGCGCGCGCGACGAGGGGCTGGGGGCGGCTGGAAAGTTCGCCTTCGCCGAGAGAAGTCTGCGCGGTGGGGAAATTTCCACCCAGCCCGCAAAGGCAGGCGGGTTTCTGGTGAAAACAGTCCTCTCTCCGCAGGACAAGGTGGTCTGTTTACGTGCTAAGCTCCGGACCCTACAGGTCGCGGCGCGCCACTCCCCGCCGAGCCCTGCGAACGCTTGGGCTCTGCGGACGGCGTCCGCGGCTCTAGCGGAGTTTCTGCCCGAACTCTCTCTGCTCACCACACTGACTTTCGGTCAGTTGCCAAAGCCCTGGGACGAGCAGAGCGCTTAGCTGCGGTCTAAGGGTAGCCCGGGCCGCATTCCCCCACCCAAGTCCGGGACCACGCATGGGCTAACGGTGGGGGGGGGGGGGGGGGGGGGGGGACGGGGGGCGGGGGTTCAGGCATCGCAGGATCAGATCCCCGTTTGCGAAGCGGTGCCGAGGGCGCTGCCAGCTACCAGGAAATGCAGCCTCCCCTTCTGCGATGATGACACTTCCCCTCCACCACTTCCCCTTTCCCACGGGGAACTGACTCAGCTTTCCCTAAAGCACTGAGTCCCGTCCCTCCAGCCCCTTTCCACCTTTGTCCACAACCCCCCACGCCGGTACTCAGAGTACAGCAGCCCTCACTGGAGAACAAAAACTTCCTGTGCACTAAATACACATTCACTCTCGCCAACCACCTCGGATTCACCGGGACCCGGGCGCCTGACTCCTCATCCGCCCCCCGTACAAAGCCCTCCCTCGGGGTCTGATTCAGGCTTGGGGTGGGAGAGCGTGAGTCACCCACAAAACCTTCCCCTATTCCCACTGACTCAGCCCTCGCCTCCCTGAACACACACAGACACACAGTCAGAGGCAGACACAACTCAGCCCACACACCGCTCACCACCGGTCCCGCGGAATTTCCCCTCTCGTCTTCCCCCACGATGGCCCCTCCCCGCGCCCGCCAGCCTCGACGCCGCGCTCACACCTGTTCCCCGGCGCCGGCTCGCGGTCCACTCTCACCTCCACTCTCGCTTTGGGGCAGGAATAGCCCTCCCCGACTGCCGGTGTCCGTACTAACCAAGGGGAGGGGACGGCCACGGGCAGCAGTCACAAAGACAGACACCCACAGACTCCCCGAAGGCAGGCGAGAGGAAGACGCACGCGGCCACAGCCAGGCTGGGAGGACGGTATACTTCTGGGGCAGACATTCCTTCCCAGCCTCTCCCGCCCGACCCACAGTCCCCGGGGCCGCCCGCCCAGAAAGGGTTAATTCTGCTCCTGCCGAGGCCACGCCCTCTCCATCCGGGCACTCCCGGTTAAGCCCAGCTCCGCCCCTTCCATCCGGGCTCTGGACTCGGGGACTTTAACCGACCCCCTCCCCCGGAGCCCCGAGAGAGACCCACTCCATCAATCACACCCACTTAACCCTCTCCCGGCTCCAGGCCTGAGGAGCCCCCGGCGCGCACCGCTGCGGCCGCGCGGGACGCGGGGGAAGGGGCCAGACGTGCGCACGCAGACTCACATGCCGGCCAAAGACAAGACCCCGCGCACACGGTCTTCCCCACCCGCACGCAGTCCGCGGACGCGCCGAGGAGGGGCCGGGGCCGGGGCCGGCACCCGCCGCATCCCGCTCCCCGCCAGGCCTCGTTCCGCCCGGTGGAAGCGAGGGGTTACAGGCTCGCTTCTTACCTGGGGGAGGGGGGAGGCGGAGGGGAGGGCCGCCGGCTGGGGCGCCGCTGTGACTCAGCCACCCGGGCAGGCCGCCCGCTCGGGATTCCCTTCCCCAGCCTTCCCCCGCTGCTGGCCCCTCCCCGCCCCCCCACCGAGGAGTGACAGTGCCGGCCCCGGCCCGCTATGTGTCACTGCGAGCCTTGTGTCTGCCTCTGACTGGACCGCTGTGTTCACCAGTGTGTCTGACAAGGTCGGCTGTGTGTGGGTCGTCCCGGTGTCTGTCTCTGTGTGCACCTGCATATCTGCTCATCTCGTCTCCTTCAGTGCCTGTGTCTGACGCGTTCCTGTCATTATGCCTGTCTACATGACTCTGAGGGGCTGTCTCTGTCTGTGTGTCTGCCTGGCTCCTGTCTCGGTCTTTTGTCTGGGTCTGCCTCTGCATCACTTGCGTGATCACGTGTGTCTCTGCACATGCCCTTCTGTGTTTGCCTTCATGTTCCCGAACAGAGTCTGGGAAACACTGGAGCAGGCTGACCCCGCAGACTCCTCGCCTCACTCCCCCCGCCCCTCCCGAATCCTGACGTCTTGTTGCCGGATCAGTGATCCTTCTGTTTGAGTCAGATATTTGGGCGTCTGTCTGCCTTCAATCAAGTTCCGTCCTATTCCTCAACGTCCTGGCTGATCCTCAAGGCTCCCTGCAGCTCCCATTATGATGATAATTGCTAGCATTTAGTGAATACTTACTAGTAGGCACCAGGCACCGTCTTAAGCACTTTACATACCTTTTTAAAACTCCCCCCACCGCAAATCTGAGTTAGGAAGTACTTTTTTTTTTTTAACCCATTTTACAGATGAGGAAATTGAGGCTCAGAGAGGTTAGGTAACTTGGCCAAGTTCACTCTGCAAGAGAGTGGAAGAACTGGGCTTCTTCCCAGGGCCTCATTCTTTCCACTCTTCTATCTGCCTCTGTCCTGTTCTCCCTCCCTTGGTTTTATCGTCACAGGCCATCTCCTGGGTCAGCCTGCCTGCGCCCCCACCCCGTTCTACCCCCAGCATCTCTAGCATCGCAAATGTCCCCTGTCCTCGACAGCAGGTGTGGGTAGGACACTTGTAGCAGATCTCAGAAGCCATTGCTTTCTTGGCAGTGAAGCTCATTCAGTTGACACATTCATTCAACACAATTCCACTGAGGCACCCCAATGTGCAAACCATCTTGCCAAATCCAGACACACAGAAGAAAACAGTCCCACTCAAAAACTCAGCGCGACACACACTCAGAGAACTTAAGTCCCTGGCTTAGGTATCCTCTCCTCTCCTACAGAGCCTCAGGCAGAGAACTGGCCCAAAGAGAGAGGAAAGCAGAAGAGAAGTAAGACTTGGGGGGAGGGGGGCGGGGAGGAGGCAAATGCCGTAGCACCGTGGGGACAGAATGGAACAGAAAGGGAGCTGGAAGGCAAGGTGAGATGCCACGATTGCCATGGCAACAGCGGCAGGCTGTTGTGGCCATGGGCTCCGGCATCTCCAAATCCATTTCCAATCACCATGCACGAACCACGCTGTTCACCAACTCTTATAGGGCACCCTCACCGCAAGAAAAATCCCCCCGGTTATCTCACCTCTACCTTCCAGCCTTGCAAACTCTAGTCTAATTCAACTCCAGAAGTAACTGAGTTGTAGCACTGGGGGGAGATTTTTTGGTGGTAGTGGAGAGGCTGGTGAAATAACAGGGCTGAACCATTCAGGGGCAACAGAGGGGCGCTCCATAAACCAGGAAGGCTGAACCACTCCAGCACCACATGGTGGGGGGATGCTCAGAGCTGGACTGGACCATTCTGAGGAGTGGGCACGATCCAGACCATACCGCTCTTCTTCAAGCATGTGGTCCAGAGCTGGACGGGTGGGGGTGGGGGTGGGGGTTGTTGCTCAGGAGCAGAACTTACCAGATGGAATTTGATGTGCCCTGTCTCATTGGAACCAGTGCCCCAGTGGTGGGGTGCAGCAGACCACGGTGGGGGGGGGGGGCCGGTACTACGGGGCTGGCATGGTGCCTGGGGGAACCTGAAAGAAAAAAGCCAGTTAGAAGTGGGGTCTCCCAGGCTGGAGAATTTCCCTGTGCTCCCTGTCTTCTTATTGAGGAGAAGCCTGGTGCTGGTGGTCAGATGGGATGAGAGAACCCGTTTCCATGGCAACCAGAAAAAGCCATCCCCAAGGTGGTCCTCCAGCCTTCCCCGTTAGGAAGCAGCCTTGGACCAGAGGGTAAGGGGAGCGTGCTACGGCATCTGTGAACATCCACAGCGGACACCCAATCCACGAGTCCCCTTCGGACCGGACTCTCCTGCTGACAGTCCCTGGGCCCAGAGTAGCCCCGATTGCCCCTGACGTGGGCACCCAAGTCGGCCTCAGTCCTGGCCCCGGGCCTGCAATCTTCTGCCTCCAGCTCAGCCTCCTCCCTACCCCTAACCTTATCAAGACACCAGTCAACCCCACCCTCTGGACTCTGCCCCCTCCTCTTCCCCCAGGCGGGTGCAGGCAGGTCTTGGCGAGCAGCACAGGTGGCCAGACTAGACGAACGGGCCCAGCAGGGAGGAGCCTTCCTCCACAACGACCTGGGTCTGGGTCTGAAAGTGGCCTCTGCCGCAAGCCTCCCTTGCATCCCACCCCTCAAGGCCATATCCTGTTTCCCCATCACCTCCTTCCTCTCTGTGGCCCAAGAAGGTGACAGAGGCCCAGTCCCTTCCCTCCCCTCCGAAACAAAAAGCTAGGTCTTCTAAGTCCAGGGTCAAGAATCAGGTGTCCATCTAGGGTCAGACCTAAGTCTGGCCCTTATCTCAGACTCACTCCTCAGAGACCTATGGTTTCTGCTTCCTTAGTCACAGTTGCCTGCCCTTGAGGTCCCAGACATTGGGGTTCCCAGTCTAGTCCCCCCATTCCCCGGCCGGCCAGCCCGCATCCTTCCCCCTGCCCCAGAGACTCAGGCCTCCAGCCCCCAGCCTCCATGACGCAATGTGCTGCAAGCTGCCTGGGCTGCTGATGACACTGCCCCCAGGGAGGAGCCACTCCTGACCCAGGCAGGGCCCCCCCCCCCCACCGGCCCCCCATAGGCCAGGTAGTGGCCAGCTGCAGGCCAGGGAGGCCGGGCAGGCAAAGTTCTTGTGCTACAGAAAGGAAGCTTGAGGCTGGAACCTTCCAGGACAGGGATGTTGAGAACATGGGACCAGAGGGTGTGCGTGTGCTTGCCTCTGTATGTGTGTGTGTGTGTGTGTGTGCGTGTGTGCGCGTGCGGGCACACGCGTGCAGTCTGTAGTGTTTGTGTATGTGGCTGTGTTGTAGGGGAAGGGGATGTGCTGGGAAGGGTCTAGCCTAGAGAGAGGGGAGTGGCAGGCCTCACGACAGACCAAAGAAGGAGTGAGGGGCAGCCAAGGGGGTCACCAGGGTGTGTATGGGGTGTCTGGACACCAGAGTGGGGGAGGGGCCCACAGCCATTTAAAGGGCCAGCCCCAGAGCTTTAATCCCTCACCAGCCCTGGCCCCAAGCCGGAGGCTGTAATTCATCTGTCCAACAGCTGGGGTGGGTGTGTGTGTGTTGGGGGGGGGGGGGCATGTGGACGGGAAGGGGGAGCTGGGGGAGGGGCTGGGGCTTTCTTGTGCACAGAGCCAAACAACAAAAGGGAAGCCGAAGGGCCAGCTCCAATGTGCCCAAGCCGGGCAGCTGACCTGCACACCGGCCGGTGGTCTCCACCTGATGGCCAACAGACTCCGTAGTATGGACTCAAGGACTCTTGGTCGAGGAGTCCGAGAACCCAAAGGTGGGGCCTGGGAGAAGGCCCAGGCTGAGTGCCCCCAACCCTGCCCCCGCGAGCTGTCACCCCTCCTCGTAGGTCCCAGCCGCACCACCGTCCCAGACCTGGCAGGCCCCTCGACAGATTCAGCCTCAAATGCCCTGCTCACCAGCCAAGCCTCCCCAGACACGGCCTGCCGGCTCCCCCTCCCGCCGGCGCAGGGTGGCAGCGGCCACACCGAGGCTGTCCCTTTAAATCATTACCACCCCTGATTGTGTGGACAAACCGAGGGCCCTGCCCCCCAGGCAGGCGGCTTGCCACCTCCCCCCCATGAGTCCCCAGAAATGTGAGGGCCATTTAAAGGGACAACGGAGAGACAGCCAGGTCTCTAGCCGCCCCCACCCCCACCCCACACACACACTCACAGCCCCTTTCCCCAGCGACACACAGCCCCTTGCCCCTCTGGAGGGCCCCCCAAATTCCGGTTCTCTCCCCACCCCTAGAGACTGCTAGAAGGAGAAAGGGGGCCAGAGTTGGGGGGGGGGGGCGGGGAGCTGGGGGAGCGAGGAAAAGACAGGGGCTGCCTCCTTACTCAGAGCCCCAGGGGACAGGTCGGAAGGAAAGCAAAGCCAGGAGAAGCGGCGAGACAGAGCCCCGAAAGGTGCCGCGGGCAGACCTGGGGCGCACAGGCTGTCGGGCGAGGGGAAGGGAGTCGGGCTGCACGAGACGGCGGCGCGGCCAGCGGGCGACAAGCCCAAGTCGGGGAGATGGAACAGGGAGGGCCAGGGAAAAGAGGCAAGGCCGGAGGAAAACGGGGAGACAGAATCGGGGAAAGGGGTCATCCGGGAGGGTGTGGAGGAAAATCCGAGGAGGGAGGGCGAGCCAGGCCGGGGTTACCTGCTGGGTGTCTGTCCCCCGGCGGTGCCCCCGGAGTCCGGGTAGGGAGGGGGGGAGCAGCAGGGGGGGGGAGTGGGGGCTGGGGGGGCGGGGGAGACGGTCCCTCCTCTGCCTCCTGGGCCTGCCCCGGCGCTCGCAGCCTCTGCCTCCCTCCCTCCTCCTCCCCGTCCCTGAGTCCCGGAGTCAAACAAAGAACTGTAGCAGGCTCTCCCCAACCCCCTCCCTCCTCCTCCTCCTCCTCCTCCTCCTCCTCCTCCTCCTCCTCCTCCCCTCCCTCCCTCCCCACCAGCAGGCTCCCTCCTCCTCCCTTCCGGTCTCTTCCTTTAACTACCCGCCCCCCCCCCCCAGCCCCCAGCACTAGTCTCTCTCCACCCACCCACCCCAACCTTTTTACACACCCCTCAGCCAAGCCCCGTCCCCGCTGTAGAGTCCCTTTGCAAAATTGAAAGGCTCCAGAGAACATGGGAGGGGGCTGGGGTCTTGCTTAAAAATCAAGAACCACAATACAATTATTTATTTTCACGGCCAGAGGAATAGTCTTAGCTGTTTCTTCTCCAAGAGGGGGGGAAAAATAATCCTAAAGAAAGCAATACAAATCTGACTAAAGCCCTCATCAAATAAAGTGCACAAAGCAGCGGGAGCTAATCCCCAGCCCCCTCCCTCCCACCCGCCAAATTAAGACCGACTCTCCACTCCTCCAGAACCAACTCCTAAGGTCCTGGCCGGCTGGAACCAGGCCTAACAACTACAGTCACAAAAATCATAACTATCACGATTTAACCACAATAATAAGCATTTTATAACAAGCCTTCATTCAGTATTTATTCTGCACCCGCCACCTTGCGAAGTGCTTTGCATAAATTATCTCATCCCCCCCCCCCCACCTCCCCAACAGCCAAGAAGGTATGTATTGATATTTAAATTTTCCAGATGAAGAATGTGAGGCTCTGGGAGGTGGTGACCTTTCCAAGTCCCTATGGCCACTAAGTGGCAGAGCTGGGAACAGGATCCGGGTCTGACCTGACAGCCCAAGCTCCGGAACACTTAAAAAGAAAAACCACTTTTTTCTAAGATCATAACCAAACCCGGGAACTTAACTCCATAGGGAAGGGCGGTCATAACTATCAACCGAGTCCCCCTCCCTCAGGAAACTGACCCACCCACCTACACCGAATAAAGACCTGTCCTCTTCAGTCTAACACTGCTTCCTGACCCTTTTCGTCACTGTTGGGGTGTCACTAATTACGATCAGAGATGAGCTGCTGTCTACAGAACGCCACAAACCGCACACAGCTCTTCTCCTGGGAGTAGCTATCTTGCGACCACTCCCACTTCAACTCAAAATGGGGAGGGGGGCAATAGGACACTTAGCAATGCAGCAGGTGGGAAAGCGGCAAGACTGCTGGGAGGCTCCTTCACGGGGGCGGAGGGGGCTGGGAAGGAAAGTTCTCATACCCACCTGGGGAAAAGTGACCCCGGGTTCCTGGAGCCCAGCAAAGGGGCAAAGTCTTTGGGCCACACCACACCCGTGCCCCTCCCCCTCACAAAACTCCAGGCCAGGGTTTCCCACCTGCAGGCTGCTACGGCCAAGGGAAGGGAGAGGGGGAAAAGATGGCACGGGGTTGGAATCGGACTCGGGGCAGAGGTGGGGGGGGGGGAGAGGGGGAGGCGGAATGGAAAGGGGAGGAGGCCTCCGGCCTGGCAACCGTCCCAGGGCACGTGCGCTGGTGACATCATCCCAGGCCACCTCTAACACAGACCTTTGACCCCTAGGGGCGGAAAGGGGCCTTTGGCTAAGCTTCCTGGGAAATAGCCTTAGGAATTCTGGGAACCCAAAAAGGAGAAGAAGAAGGAACCCAGGCGGCTTGCCTTTATCTCTTTTACTCCCAGTTACCACTCCAGCCCCAGGGACTCGGGCTTCTCGGCTCCTCCTCCCCGCCTCCAGCCCTGACCTCCCAACCCACATTTCTGACGGAGTCCCGACACGCCTCTCGCAGATACTGTGCCTTCTCTCTCCCGGGCGAGATCTCGGGTGGGGGGCAGCAGGTGGAGGGCGGGGGCACCGGGTCCCGCGGGGCTCCGTCTCCCATCTGCGGGATCCCCCGTGGCCCAGCCGGCCGCCAGCCGGAACCTGTCTGGGTCCCCAACTCTCCTGCCCCTCCCCGCGCCGTTCCAGGGCGGAGTCTGTGGAGTTGAAACCAGGACACGGCGAGAGGAAGAGTTATATAACCGGGAGAAGCCGAGAAGGACGAGTGGAGCCCGGGACAGACAGCCCGAGAGGAGCCCGGGGAAGTGCATGAGCACGAGGAGGAGTGGGGAAGACACGCTAGGGATGGGAAGGGTTGGGGGTGCATCAAAGAGGAGGCATCCACGCGAAAAAGGGGCGTGGTGGCCCGGCGGGAGTCACCTGGGCCGGCCGGGACTTCCCCGCAGCGCCCTCCCGCGCTGCCAACAGCAGCTGAGCCCAAGCGACTGAAGCCTCGCAAAGGGGCGCAGATACCCGTTCCGTTCCCCCTGGGGAGGCAACCTAAGCCAGAGCCCGGGAAGGCGCCGGCGGAGCAGAAGGGGCCGGAAACCGCAGCTCCGCCCAGCCCACCTGGGAGAGTGGGGCGCCAGCTGGGGGTCGGTGGGAAACAGGTAGCCGACCCCTCCCACGCAAGGCTGGGCAGTGGTGGTTGGAGACCCAGCGAGAGGGGACAGGCGGATCCAGACGCCTGGATCCCGAGGGGCTGAGGAGCGCAGCCCAGGACTAGTTTGCAAACACACATTCAAACGCGGGGGGGGGGGGGGGGGGCGGCGGTAGTGCTGCAAGCTGCGACTCGCCGCGCAGGCGCAGGGGGCTACTAGGGCGCGTGCGGAGGAGGGAGGGGGGTGGGCGCGAGCGTGTGGGAGTGCACGTGCGGGTCCCGAGCAGCTTCCCCCTCCCTTCCTCCACCTCTCCCCCTCCCCTCTCCCTTTTCCTGTCGCTCTATAAAGCCTCCTCCACATTGGCTGCCAGGGCCCTGACGTCAGGGGCCTCCGCGGGAGCCGATTGGCCCGACACGAGAGTTCGGGAATCCGGCTCCCGAGTCTGGCTCTCCGGTTACTCCGGCAACGGGGCAAGCAACCCCCGGGAGGTCGGCGGAGCGGCGCTCCTTGTGGCGCCCGGGTCCCGCCTCCCTCCGGACGCCCGCCGAGCCCCCTTCGGCGGCAGCGCAGCTCGCGGCCTCCCCTCCGTCCTTCCCGGGCTCGTACCGTCCCGAGACCGAGGCGTCCTGCCCCCGACCTTCCCCGCAGTCGCCCCGCCCCCAGGTCACAGCCACAAGCCACAGCAGACAGGAAGCGAATCTGCGTTGCTTGGTAACCAAGCCGCGTGCCCCCTCCCCACTATTTACTCCAGCGCAGGGAGGCGGAGACGGGAGTCCAGCCCCCTCCCCAGCCTCTGCCCTTCGCCCTCCCGCCCACAATTTCCTGTGAGGGGCCGAGATGACAGGAAGTCAGACGCCCACCTCGGCCCACCTTTCTCTCTGGCCGGGCGGGGGGCTTCAGCCCCTCCGCCGGCCACATTCCCCCTCCCCCCCCCCCCTTGCTCCCGCGGCTCGGGCTGCGCGTCTCGCCCTCGCCATCTCGTGGCTGCGCTGGGAAGGTCCGCACGGAGCAGGGCCCGAGCCGGGCGAGGGCGAGGAGCATCAGAGTGGGGTAGCAGGACCACGGATGGAGGGGCGGCGGGGTGCGTGGACACGAAGACTCCCGCGGGGAGGCTGGCTCCCGGCGCTCCTGGCGCGAGGGTCAAAGCTGAGGCGACACACCTCACCGTGGGAGGGACTGGAGGGAGACCCGAAGTGGCCCCGGGACCGGAGACGCACCCCTGCCCGACCACACCCGACCTCAGAGGGCCATCACCCTGGCCTATCTGCAGACTCTGACCTTCAGTCCTGCCCTTCTGTTAGGCACCGTCGCGCCCCGCCCCGACCTAGTGTTGCGGAGGGGAAATCCCGGCCCCAGGGGAACTGCGAGTCCTTTCAGGCCCCTCTTGACATCCGAACCCAAGGCTTCTGCCCGCCCGCTCTTCCCCCACACCGCCCTGCATTCTGGGGAACCCTGGCGTCCTGCGCCCCGATCTTCTTTGCAGTGCCTTTGCAGGGACCGAAACGTCCACCCCCAGCTCTACAAGTCTGAGACTCAGGCGTCCCGCCCCCCTGCGCGGAGATGGTTTCCCTCTTTCCAGACGCCCCCGCGGCCCCCCGTTACCTGGTTCTGGGGTGTCCCAGGTGCTCAGGCTCCCCAAGGTCTCCCAGGGGGTCGAGCGGCCCCCCCCTCTCCCAGGCCGGGGCTGGGGGGGGCCGCTCCGCCCCGTGGCGCAGTTGGATTTTCCAACACAAACACCGCCCCCCCTGCGCCCCAGCCCCGCCCCCTTCCCTTGGTCCCGCCTCCCCTCGCGCCGAAGTCCCCCCCCTCTCGGGCCCCGCCCCTCCTCCTCCTGTGCCGCTCGCCTCAGCGCACGTGCCGAACAGGATACCCGGTGCCGGGTGCTGGGTGCAACCTACTGGGTCCGGCCCCGAGCCCTGCCGGACGAACCCCTATTCCATTCGGATCACGCGCGTTTCCCAAAATAAGCCCCGCCCCGCCCGCTCAAGTCCAGCCCCGAGATTTAGCCACACCCGGTTTAGGCCCCACAGCCCTGCCCCCTCGTTCAAGGCCACACCTCCCTCTTCCCAAGCTCCTTTCCCAGTCCAAAAGCAGTAGCTCGCAGGGGTTCGCTTCCTCTGTGAGATCCGGGCTTCCTCCCTCCCCAAACCCCCACCACCCCATTGAGAGGCTTAAGGCTTGTGGTTGCGGGTGTTTTCCTGCTCTGAGCTCCAAGACAATCCTTCCACCTTTATTAAAGGCTAGCCATCTCCAGGGCCCCATCCCCGCGGCGCGTTCAACCACGGCCAAGGCCAGAGTTAAGTCCAGCCCCGGTCCGAAGTGCATTATCAGTCTTGGCCCCTAGAGTCCCCGACCCTCCCTCAAGCGGGGAGGAAGAGGAGGCCTCCTCAGTTGTCCAGGCTCATGAGTAGAGCGGTGCCCCTCTTGATCCAGTGATCAGATGTCATGGTCCCGGACCGGAGGTCGATGCCAATGACGAAGGAGGCTCGGTCTGAGCTGCCTGCCCGGTTGGGATAGTAATAGCAGGGACAGGAGTACATGCCTGAGGGAGAGGAGAGGGGATGGGAGTCAGAGCGCTGGGGCCTCTGGGAGAGCAGGCACAGGTGTGGGGGGAGGGGCGGGGCAGAGCAGGGGTTGGGATCCAAACCCGGGGCGCCATCCCACCCTTGGCGCTCTTCTTTCGGCTTTCTGCCGGCCTGAAGTGGATGGTGGGCATGAGGCAGACGAGCTGCATGGGGTCCGCCTCCACCAGGCAGGAGTTCTTCCAGTCCCAGCCGGCGCCCTCCAGGTACAGGCCCCGGACCCACACGCCCTCCTGGGAAGACACGGGGAGAAGTCTGGACCCGAGGCTGCCAGCACCCCTGGCCTCTGGCCTCCCTTCTCCCTTGCCAACCAGCTGTTTCCCCCCTTTGCTCCCAGCGCCCTCCTCCACCAGACCCGCCTTTGCTCCCAGTCGGAGCACATCTGGCTCCCACCTTGGGTGGGTACACGAGGTTGCTGTCATCCACGGTGGAAACAATAAACTCCCAGGAGAGGCTGTCCACCGAAATCTGGGGATGGAAGGCGAGAATAAGGGAGGACCCCCAGAGAGGAGCGAGCCCAGGTGGCCAGCACCCCCCCCCCCCCCCCGTCACACTTAGCATGTGGCTCACGTTATTTTGGCGAGCTGAGGCCTGCAGCACGGCGGTGAGGAAGCCGGTGGGGAAGGTGAAGCCGGAAAGCCAGAAGATCACGGGGGGCCGGGCCCGGCTGGCCCACAGCTCAAACTGCTCCACACGTGTGGCCAAGTCCCGTGTCCACGAGGCCAGTGGCTTTTGTGAGGGATACGCCTGGGGGAGGGGGAGGCGGTGCGTGTGTACGCGTTCATTCGTTCACGCGTGCAAATCTTTACTTGGTGCGCTCGGGGCAGATAGGAGGAGATGTGGTGTCGGCCGGGTCCCCCGTTACGGCTGGCAAAGCTGTCTCCGAAAGCCCCCTCCCGGGAAAGAAGCATAAAGCGAGCACTAGTTAACCACGCCAGCAACAGCGCTGTCCAGTTACCATTAACGAAGCACCTACTGAGAGTTGCACACAGCACTAGGAATCCCTGACGCGTCTTCAGAGAGGTTAGTGACTCGCCCTAAGTCCCTGAGTTAATAACCGCAAAGCCAGTCTGTGAACGGCAGAGCCAGCTTTCAGATTTGAATCTGTCTGGCTCCAAAACCCAGGCTCCCTGGTTTTGCTCCTACAACCGGGAGGCTGGGGGCACCGGGGCCAGAGGTCAGCTCATTGTTGCAGGAGGATCGACAGCCAGGTCATCTTGCCTTCCCCCAGAGTGGCGGGACATGGGCGTCGAAGATGCAGTTGAAAATCTCTTCCAGGCTTGTAGACATGACGATGAGGCCCTGGATGCCTTTTTCTAGATCTGTCAGGGAACACCTGGGCAGGGTGAGGTGGGAGCTTAGAGAAGGGCCTGGCAGAGCCATCTCAGGTGGGGGGCTGGGGGGCGCCTTTCCTCCCACCCCCTCCCCACCGAGCCCCTCTCCATCTTACAGGATGGTCTCCATAAGCTTGTTGTATCTCTGGATTTCCTGCAGAAGGACCACGTTGAGGGGGGAGGGGTCCATGGCCAGCAGTTTCCGGGTCCCCTCATAGTCGATCATTTCAGGGATTTTCTGTTTCACATCTGCAGCCAGCTCGAGGACCTGACCCGGCAGGGGCTCTGAGTGGGGGGCCTCTCTCCTCCCCGCACCCCCACTCCCCCCGCCCCTGAACCCGGCATCCACCCCTGCCTACCTTCTCTTCTCGGCTCTGGCCTCCCGCCCTGGTGGGTGTAATCTGGGGTTGCAGGGACAGCAGAGTCTCAAAGAGAGTCCGCGCCTCAGTGATCTGGGAGGCCACATCCGCATTGGGGTGCTGGCCAAAGGCCTCAGGGGGGTCCATGGTGGGCAACATGCTGATGTACTCCTTGTAAGAGGCCAGAGTCCCATCTTTGGGGATGAAGTAAGTCTCCAGTGCTGACAACCTGGCGACCCACAGCATAATTCTCACCACGCTGTGGGCCACACTCTGGGGCTTCGGCGCCAGGCCAAGACCCTGGCCCCTCTGCAGGCGCGTGTGCCCCCTGCGTCCAGCTCCCTGCACCTGCTCCCCTCCCGGCCCCACGAACCCCCCCCCCCCCGGCCTCCTGGCCTCCCCTCCAACGCTCCGCTCCCCGCAACCCCAGTCCTGCCACCTGGTCTGCCGGGTGTCCTCTGGCCCCCTGTTCGGTGCCACCTCCCCCTCACCGGTAGAAGGGGGTTGAGAGAGTCTGGTCACAGAAATAGTCGTTGATGTAGGTGGTGAGCAGCCGCCGGTCCCAGTCATCGGTGACGTGCCCGCCGTAGTTGACGCCGGCGATGAGGTACTTGAGGGCATCCCAGGGTGTCTCCTCATACTCCTCCAGGTAGAGACTCAGCAAGTTCTCCGACACCTGTGCGTGGTCCCAGCCCCCACCCCCACCCCCACACACAGTTAGGGGAGGAACTGCCCTCGGTGGCAGGGGCGGGGCGGGGCGGGGCGGGGCGGGGCGGGGGGGGGGAGGGGGAGGAGCCGCAAGGCGGGAAGTGTGAGGAGACGGGGCGCTGGGATGCCGGCCCCCTGCTGGCACAAACCTCAAAGTCAGAGTCATTGAAGCCGTAGACGATGTTCCAGCCGAGCTGCAGGAACTTTTTGCGCTCCAGCAACACGGAATGGAAGAAGCAGAGGGCAAACAGAAGCTTCTTATACTTGGCAGGTTTGGAGCAGCGGGAAAACTGCGATTCCGTCATCAGCTGGTAGAGGCGCGTCATGTTGGCCTTTAGGCCCTGGGGACAGTGCAGCGCGGAGGTGGGGTGACGTGCATCGTGCCAAGCCCTGCCGGTAGCACCGCCACAGTTGTGGAGGCTGCTTACTGCACAAGGGCACTGGCCGAAGAGGTCAGTGAGGGCTGCAGTGCAGCCCTTGACCTGCGCGCCAGGATGTGCACCGATTCACAGGACCGGGTGGGTGCCTTTCTCTAACTTGCACGCGGGCACTGTGTGGGCTACTGGGAGCTCTGCCTCCTTGTCCCCCCCCTTTTGATCCTCTCAGCCATGATGTTCTCGACGGCGGGCAGGCCGGCTCGATTTGGGAATACCAGAAAACATGAGGACCTATCCGTGCAACTATTAATGGACAAAAACGTACACCATTAGGTACAGAGGTTCAGTGTAGATTAGAGGAGCCGTAGGGTATCGTCGAGGAGGGGCATGCCACGTGATAGATTTATCAGGCTTCGAGAACAGGTCGGGATTTGGACTAAGTCTCACAAACGGGAAGGAGGTCACCAGGCCGAGAGGAGGGCATCGGTCTCCTGGAGATGGAAAGAATTGAGGGAATAAAGGCACGAAGGGGAGAATAAGTAAGGAGATGGGTCTAACTGAAGTCAAGCTCGAGGACTCAGGTGGCGTCAGAAGGGCCGTGATTCACCAGGAGTCACAGGGCCACTTTCTGTCTCGAGTACTACCGCAGTAGGTTGAAACGGTGCTTTAAGAAGCCCCGTCTATGAGGGACACAATGGAGTCGGGACAATATGTAAGCACGAATATTGTCATTTAGAACATCAAAATATGTAACGTGTCTAGGAATAAGTCCAGTGAAAATGTACAAATCTTCATAGAGAGAATGACAAAACTTTATTGAAATAAAGATTACGTGGAGAGAGACGTACTATAATCATGGATCGGGAGACTCGATCTACCCAAGACGTTGATTTCCTGCAAAGTGATCCACAGGGTTTTGTTTGTGGAACTTGACAAGCTAATTCCAACATTTCTGCTGGAGAATCAAAGACCATGGCATAGCCTGAAGAAGAATGAGGTAGAGAGACTTGCCTCACCAGCTATCACGCATTATTATGGAGCCAAACAGGAACTGAGACGGTACATACTGACCTGAATATAAACAACCTGACCAGTGAACAGAGATAAAGGGCCCAGAAACCTAGGTGTGTGTAAAGGGGAGTTAAGGCCTGGCAGGCATCGAACATCGCAAGGGTGATGGTGGGCTATTTGATGATGGTACTGGGAGAATGGGTTATCTACGTGGGGGGCTGGGGGGCAACAAAATTAGACTTCTGCCTCATCCCACACTCACAAGGATCCGTCTCAAGTGGTTAAGACACATGAATGTGAAAGTCAGGGTATAAAACTCTTTCTTTTTATGTCTGTTTATTTTTGAGAGGAAGAGAGAGTGAGCGAGCAGGGGAAGGACAGAGAGAGAGGGAGACACAGAATCCGAAGCAGGCTCCAGGCTCTGAGCTCTCGGCAGTAGGTTCGAGCCCGATGTGGGGCTCGAACTCACAAACCGTGAGGTCATGACCTGAGCCGAGGTCGGACGCTTAGCCGACGGAGCCGCCCAGGTGCCCCTATAAAACGGTTTTGAAGACAAGGGAGTGCCTTTACAACCTCGCAGTGAGCAAAGATTTCTTGAATGAGACCTAGGAGCACAAGCCATAAAGAAGAGAAGTCGGGGCGCCTGGGTGGCGCAGTCGGTTTATCGTCCGACTTCAGCCGGTTTTTGATTCCGCGGTCCGTGGGTTCGAGCCCCGCGTCGGGCTCTGGGCTGATGGCTCGGAGCCTGGAGCCTGTTTCCGATTCTGTGTCTCCCTCTCTCTCTCTGCCCCTCCCCCGTTCATGCTCTGTCTCTCTCTGTCCCAAAAATAAATAAACGTTGAAAAAAAAAAAAAAAGAGAAGAGCTAAATTCCATCTCATACAAATTAAGGATCTCTATTCACCAATAATAATAGTTAACAAGGCGGGGGGGGGGGAAGACAACCCGCAAAACACAAAGCGGACGAAGGATTAGGTTGTGGAGCATATGAGGAACCGTGAAACATAAGCAGCGTGAATCAATGTCAAGTACCCAGCGCTGAATGAAAGAAGCAAGGCACAGATGAATGTGTGTGTTAGCCAGACACACCTTGAGAAAAGTGGCTGCAGCCGAGTGGGGAGGGCGGTGGGAATGGGAATCATCTTTCTTACACAGGAAGATGGGCACACAGGTGTGTATTGAGTTGGGATCCATGGGGGCGCCTGGGTGGCTCAGTCGGTTGAGCATCCGACTTCGGCTCAGGTCGGGATCTCATAGTTGCTGGGTTCAAGCCCCACGTGGGGCTCTGTCGGGCTCTGTGCTGACAGCTCGGAGCCTGCTTCAGATCCTGTGTCTCCCTCTCTCTCTTCTCTCTGCCCCTGCCCCGCTCACGCTCTGTCTCTCAAAACTAAATAAAGATGTTTAAAATGTTTTCAAAAATGAATGGGGATCCTTTAGATCTTTGCATATATTTTAGAATTTTTTTTTTGAGAGAGAGGGTGCAAACAGGTGTAGGGGAGAGGAGTGGAGGGAGGCAGGGAGGGAGGGAGAGAGAGAATCCCAAGCAGGCCCTACACTCAGCGCGGAGCCTGATGCGGGGCTTGATCCCTTGACTCTGGGATCGTGATCGGAACTGAAATCAAGAGTCGGACGCTCAACGCACCGAGCCACCCAGGCACCCCCTCTCGTATTTTATATTCTTTTGTATCTGCTTAATATTTAATGAAAAGGAAAGGACTAGAAGGCAGGCAGTGATCCAACCAAGAATACCACTCCAGAATCGCACCCAAACCGGCGACTGGGGGCTGTGGTCGTGGGGACCTTCTTACTTGTAAGACTCGAATGAGCCCCCGTCCCCTTGACTATTGGGGCTGCTTTCGTGTATCCCGATGCAAACACTGGCCTCTTTCACAGGACAACAAAATTGCAATACCTGACCTAGAACAGATCCTGTGCTGGGGGAGAATTTTAAAAAGGACATGACCGGGTCCTTTACCACAATTGGAATATATAATAGATGGGGTTCAAACGCTCTATCCGTTTATTGAGGTTGGACAGCTGTGCTGTAGTGTGTATTGAAAAAAAATAAAAATCCTTCTCAGGATTGAGCCCTTTATGCCAAAATACACTGAAGTATTAGTGGGAAAAGACCATGATGTCTTTCCCAGTTTACTCTCGGCGTTCGGAGAAAGCATGTGTGCGTGGAGACGCAGAGAGAGATCAAATGATAAGCCCGGTGAGGCAAAATGTTAACAATGGAAGAGTCTGGGTAACGAGTCCACGGGTGTGAGGCTGTGAGGACATAGTGTTTGTGTTCTTCTTCTTCTGTTTTTGTTTGTTTGTTTGTTTGTTTGTTTGTTTGTTTGAAGTAGGCTCCAGGCCCAATGTGGGGCTTGAACTCAACACCCTGAGATCAAGGGTCATACTCTCTGCCAACGGAGCCAGCCAGGAACCCTAGAGTAGTCTTGTTCTTACAACTCTTGCGTAAGTTTCCAATGATTTCCAAGTAAAACATTTAAAAATAGTGCCCTCTTCCCTACGGAGAGAAATCCTGTTGCAAACAAGTATGCCGTGAACGTTCGGCCTTCCCTGAAGGTCTGGCTCACGCCCAGAGGTTCTGCAGACCCCGGGTGGTGAGGACAAATCTCCCCTGGGTGGAGCCAGGGCGAGCCGCCCCTCCCCCCGCCCCCCCCCCCCCCCCCCCCCCCACCCAGGCCGCCCCCAGATTCCAGGTGGCCTCCACCTTCTTATGCGGCCAGAAGTGGCACCTGCCTCCGCTCTGACACACCTGTGCCCCTCGCGGGGCGCTCGGCCAACAGGGGGCCCTCTAGCCACCAAGGCATACACCTTTCTTGGAAAGCAAAAGGAGGTTCTTCGAAAAACGGAGGCGCCGCTAACAGAACTGGGCCGAGGAGATCATCCGCGGTGGCGGGCTGGCCACCTGCTCCGAGAGTACGGGATTTATGGTTGTGGCGTGCCAGGAGGAAACGCCTCGTTGCCAGACAGAATTCAGACCCGGGAGTGCGTTTGCTTCCCGGGGCCAGAGACAAGGACTGGGCAGGATCAGGAAGAGGACAATTTCTCCATCGAGTTGTGAAAGGGGGAAACGGAGAATGAGCCAAGTTGGAGGTCAAGGACCAAGCCTGGAGATACGATCAGAGGCCAAGAGGAAAAGGAAACACGGGCGTGATAAGTGATGTGGCGGGAGACGGAGGGAGAACCCCAAGCGCGTGTCAGGGAAAGGGTGGGGGGACAGTTCACTGTGTCAACTGCCCCAAGGCAGGCGAGGAGGATTTACATGACGAAAGACGTGTGTCCAGACTTACTGGTTGAGTACCTATTACGTACAGGTGCTAGTCACAAGGTGAGCGAGACAGAGAGAGAGAGAGAGAGAGAGAAAAGATGTGTCCTCTGGCCTCGCGGAGTTTCCAGTCTAGAGAAGACAGCAGGCATTCGTCAGAACCAAACTCACACGGTAAAAAGGACCAGCAGGAAGGTTCTATGAGAGTGTTTCACTGGGATGCTGAGCTCAACGAGGAGGGCCGAGGCCTGAAGGGGCGAAGGAGGGGGCGGCGGGGTGGGGGTGGGGGTGCCCGGCAGCTGGTGCGGAAGCCTTGGGGCAGGACGGTGCAGAGTCTGGAGGAAGAGGAACAAGATATTTTAAGAACTGAGGGTGGAGCGAAGAGAGGGAAGGGAGAAGGGGTAGGTGGGGCCCAGAGGCACAGGGTGGGGGGAGGGGGGCTCACAGGCCGGGTCAGCAAGGGTTTCCGTCTTGACTAAAAGCACCGAAAAGCTACTCGAGTGGCGTAAGCAGAGGTGAACAGGGGGGGACACAGGAACGTGATCGGTGTGGCTGCATTCAGTGGTGACCTCCGGGCTGGAGAAAACCATTTCAGCAGAGCTGGAGGGAGAAGGGCCGGAAGCTCGGGGCACTGGGGAGAGGTGGAAGGAAATGCTGGGAGGCAGGAAGGTCCTGTGGACTAGCTGTTTACCCTCTGTGCCTCAGTTTCCTCTCTGTAAAATGGGGGCGACGGTGCCTACCTGATAGGGTGTGTGTGTTCTAAACGAATTTGGTAAAGGGACGATGCCGGGCATGGGTGAGCGGCTAGCGGCGTTAGAGATTACCGCTCTGTGCTAAGAGCCTGGCGCACGGAGGGAAGAGGCGAGGGGGGGGGGTCTCTCGAGAGGGGAGCAGAGCCCGAAGGCCAGGCGGCTGTTAAGGCTGGGCCTCCCGCTGGCGCCGGCCGCAACAGAGCCAGCCGGGCCAGCAGCGCGGCCGGCGCCGTACCTTTGGCGGTTCCGTGGTCATCTTGATGCCGGCCTGCAGGACGGAGATGGGGAAGTCCGGGTGGGGGCTGGAGCTGAGCCAGAGGCGGAAGGAAGGGTGAGGTTCTTCCACCTGCAGCCGCTCTACCAGCTTGTCCAGGCTGGGCATCCAAGACAGCGACAGGTGGCAGTTAGCTAGGAACACCCAGTGTCCTGCAAGGGGGCACTGGATTCAGCGGGAGCCCTTCCCCGAGCCCCGCGTGTCCCCACGCGTCGCCCCCCGATTCCGCGCGTGTCGGGGGAAGGGGTCCCGGGAGCCCTCTGGAGGAGTGGGGGCTGCGGCCACGGTAGCGTGACGGAGGCCGGGGCTTCCGGGGAGTAAGACGCGCACCAGGGATGGGGGGGGGGAGCAGGACGGGACACTGACCCTGAAGGACCCCCTCTCGCAGGAGCCGGGCGGCAATGGGGGCCTGGCCCTGGCCCAGGGACAGGGCGTGGAAACGCTGGGCCATGCCCATGTGCTCCGCCAGCTGGAGCAGGGCGCCGGAGGGGTCCACACCGGGAGACAGGATGAACACCAGCGGGGTGCGTGGGGTCGAATCCTCCAGAACCTGACAGAAGCACGGGGTGTGAGAAGGCCACGCGAGGCGGGGCGGGGTCGGGGGAGCGGGGACTGCCCAAGAGCAGAGGTTGGGGGCACCGCAGAGCGAGGCAGGAAGGACCGGGCGTGCGGGGGGGGGGGGGGGGGGGGGGCCAAGGAGGAAACCAAGCCACTGACCAGTTTCATGTTGAGCACGGGCGGCTCCACGAAGCGGGAGCCGAGGTTGGAGACGATGAACGAGGCGACACAGAAGGCCACCCGGTCCTGGCGCAGGGAGCGCACGATCAGCATTCGCTGCATCTCATTGCAGGCGTTTTCCCACTCGCCTGGGGACGGAGAGGGACGGAGAGGGCCGGGAGGCAGACGCTCGGAGGGGACACGGGGACAGGGACAGGGAACGAGGGGAAGGGCCCGGCGGGGAGGGGGCACCTGGCAGCATGGCCTTCTCCGGGGTGGCGCTGGTATACCACAGGTGCCAGTCACGAGGGTATTGCTCGAAGGAGTTCATGAGCCCGTGGAAGTTGGTCAGTTTGTCCAGCTCTGTGATGTTGTCCCAGTAGGCGTCGGCGAGCCAGCTCGTACACGGGTTATCCATCTGGCCCTCGCGATCCAGGACCTGGGCAAGGAGAGAGGAGGAAGGGGACTGACCGGAACCCCTCCAAAGCATTTAATGATGAGACCCTGCATCGGGCACCACGAGGAAAGGACTATGGGAGTCCCAGAGGCACTGGGCTCTGCCTGGACTGGGGAAGTCAGTTGGAGGGGGGGTGGGTGGGGGGGCGGGGCAGGGTCTCCCCGGCACCGAGCCGACACCTCTTGGTGCAAATTTGGGGAGCTGGCGCCCTCTGCTGGCTTTCTGGTGACACTGTCTCTCGCCCTAATGACCTCGCCCTGCAGAAAGGCCCCTTCCCTTCTTCACCCTCTTCAGCAAATACTCACTGCTCACCCACTGTGTGTTTTCTGAGCACTGGGATGCGGCGCTGAATATAAAGGGCACATATCTCTGCCCCTGAGGGGCTTATTTTCCAACATGGGAGGGCAGACGATGAGCCAAAGGCATAAACAATTAAGTTATCCAGTGCTAGGTAAAGATGGCAAGGTTGCGCCAGAGTAGAATGAGTTGAAGAGCATACAAAAGATTGGGAGTTCTGGGGGTAGTTTGAAGTATTAAATAGGAAAGTCAAGGAGGCCTCGGGGAGGCGCAATCTGAGTCCAGCGTTAAAGTTGGTGAGTGGGAGCTGCGGGCGCACCTGTGGCAGAAGGGACAGCGAATGCAGGAGCCCTGGAGGGGGGTGGGGCAGGGCAGGCCATGGGAGGTGACACCAGGGAGGTGGGCATGCTGACACACTGGGGGTGGGGAGCAGTGGGAGGCTCTTAGTTATTGGTAACCCGGATGAGAGGAGAAGTGCCCGGCATTGTCCAGGAGGGTGGAGAGAGGCCAGCCCAGGAAACGTGGTGTCACTGTCTAGCAGGTGTTTTTAAATTTGTTTTTAAAGTTTATTCATTTTTGAGAGAGAGAGAGAGAGAGAGAGAGAGAGAGAGAGAGAGAGTATGAGCAGAGGAGGGGCAGAGAGAGAAGGAGACCCAGAATCTGAAGCAGGCTCCAGGCTCCAAGCTGTCAGCACAGAGCCCGATGCGGGGCTCGAACCCACAGACCGTGAGATCATGACCTGAGCCGAAGTTGGACGCTTAACTGACTGAGCCACCCAGGCACCCCTGTCTGGCAGTTTTAAGGGCCTAATGGATTTAAAGGGAGTCCATTCGGTGTGGGAGTGTTTTTCTCCAGCTAGGCCCAGCCTCCTGGGCCACACAGGAACAGGAGAGCAAGATCCAGCCAGAGTGGTGGTTTCGCCAAGCAAAAGCAATACGGGACTGGGCGCTGAGGGTGCCTGTGGGGGGGGGAGCATGTAACGGTGACCATGGAACCCAGGCCGGGAAAGGAGGGGCTTGAGCAGCAGTGAAAGAGGCGAGAGACCACACCTGTCAGTGGGTCACAGGTAAGAGGGGCCCCAAATCCTCACCTGTAATGTGAGAGGCCCCCCCCCCCCCC